ATAACTATTTCGGCTTTATTGTGACAATACAATTTTCTCAACTCCTGATTTAATTTTTTTCTGGGGGGCCCTAACAAACATTTGTACATTTTTAAATAAAACAAAGTAAATAAATAAATAAATAAATAAATAAATAAAAAACAAAAATAAAAAACACATAATAAATAAATAAATAAATATAAATAAATAAATAAATAACAAAAATAAAAAACACATAATAAATAAACAAATAAATAAATAAATAAATAAATAAATAAATAAATAAATAAATAAAAGACATTTCCAAATTCTGTTCATTTCCAGTATTTTCTCCTTGGTATCACTCACCAGGCTTGTGGCAGATGCACATGAGCGTGTGCACTTCATTGTTTAGTAGAAAGTTCTAGCTGTTTCATCACAAAAATTCCCACGAATAGAGGGATGCACCCACAAGCCTTCAACTATTTTAGATACTATCCTACTGAGCTGGTATTATAACATGTAACATGATGAAGAACGTTTATTTCATAAGTAAAACTGTGACTTGAAAACAAACTATAACTGACTGCAGATATTTTAATGTTTTCTTTCTATTTATTTTATTTGATAAAAATGTATCTTATTTGTCTCGTTTTGTAAAGCAGAAACCCGTAAACCACGTGAGCTGTTGTGACCCGGTTACATTTCAGCTCGGCGTTGCAGCCTTAGTTCTGAGCCCACTTAACTTCTTGAAGGAACACGAGAGGCGGTGGAGGCAACTAAGCGCTCTCAGAGCTGAAACCACAAAATCTTGTTTCAGTTTTACACATGGGTTTACAACAGTGACAAGTGTCAAAGGTGTTTGTCCAGATGCCAGTCTGAAAAGAAGCATGCAGATTTCTGCATGAAGTTTCTGAAATACAATCAATTAACGTTAAAGGCACATTTACACTTGCCATGTATCAATGTCCCAAGTGGATTTGCACGGTTGTACATGACTGATAGTGGTTTACATCAGGCTGAATGTTTTATTTTTTCTTCCGGTGTCGGTGCAAGATCAGCTCGGGGTCCGTCGACTGCCGATGACGTCTAAGTAGTTGATTGGCTGAACATGAACCTTACAGAATTATGTAATCATGTTACATTGTTATCGCGTTACGTTGCTGTTGGACAGGAGAGGGGCCCTGAAAGCACCTGTTGCTGGTTGAAAAATTAAAGATGTGTTTGTGTGGCAAAATTTCCTAAAGTGTTAAGAAACACCAGAAAATCACAATGCTCGTAATCAAATACCTTTTGGAAATCGTCCCTGGAAAGGCCTTATAGCACTAAAAGCAGTGAGAACGTTGCAACACTAATCTGACTAATGACTGAAGGTGAACTCACCCGATGTGTGCAGCACAGGCAGGAAACAACTGCTGTTATTTGTGATTAAAACATTAAAGCAACTAAAACTAAAGTAACAAAAGGAGATCGTGGTTTTTCCACAGCCCGTTATTTCACAGTCTTCTCAGCTATTGTTGCGTTTGCTTTACTTTTATTTTGGGACACTCTCCGTGAGGACAGAAGACAAAGAAGACAGAAGCAGGAAAAGGCTGATAGATAAGATGAGTGCAGAGACGGAGCTGGCGATTTAGAGGCTAGCTCTATTTCCTCTGTCTGTTTGTCTTTGAACAAGACTCTTTGGCTTATCAGCCTGGTAACCTTCTGTCTGTGGCATGTTTTTAAAAAGATGTTTTACTTTTGCTTTGTTGTGTTTTGAAACAATCAGGAAATCACATCATTTTCCCAAAAGTCCCGTAATCTTTTGGACGTCTCCCAGAAAGCTCACTTTTCTTTGTTTGTCAGTTGTTTGCTATTATCCATGTGAACGGGAGGGAAAGTGAGCTGGAGTGCCCTTGGATGTGCTTGTGGGTGTGAAACGTGATGACATGGTTAGGGAGGGAATTGGCTCCGGTCCTTAGGGAGGAACAGGGTGAGGGGTTATGAGCAGGGTTGGAAACGTTGATGCGCCACAGGTTTTTGCTCTGAGTTCTTTTTCTAATCACATAACAAGACTTTACTGTGTTAAAAACAGTTTATAAATGATACCGGAGCGCCTAATATGATCCAGTCTCTCTGAATTTGGACAAGATGTGAGTCAGCACAAGGTTCAGACGGAGATTTTCCCATGAGACAAATATGGTAACAATATAACCTCCATGATTTACTTGCAGAGAGAAAAAGATCTGCACGGTACTCAGTCGTCACCATGATTCAACATAGACTTATTAGGCAGCAGAAGGATAAAAAACAAACAAAAGCTATGTTATCTGTGAAATAAAAAAATAAAAACATTTCTCCAGTGGTTTACCCGCCTGCTGAGCCGCCGTGCTTTTGGAGTCAGTTGGGGAGAATTTAGCAGCGCTATCAAACCGTCTTTCACACCGACTTTAATTGTTTCCACATGTGCTATCGGATCGCCTCTGCGTGTTTAATGTGATGTATTTGAAACGTGAGCGGGCCTCGACTGGCACTAGGCTTTGGAGTAAAGGGCTGGGTCTGGTCCCGAGTGAAAACTAAGTCTTACGCTTCATCACATCACATTACTCTTTAATTAAAAAGATCTGTGAGGCGCCCTACATGGACCCCTGCGACGCTTTCCCCTGCCAGTGCCACACATTCAAGTTTACTTCATAGGATGCTTTCATGCACTCACAGGTGATGTGACTGATTACAGCTGAGTGTGTAGTAGACAAACAGAGATGGACACCAGGGGTGGACTGGGACCAAAATTCGGCCCTGGCGTTTTTACGAATCGTCGGCCCTCAGTCTGCCCTCCCCATTGGGAGAGTGGTGGGGGTGGGGGGTGTTGCCGCCCGCGGACTCGTCTCTAGGCTGAATGTGAGATCTAATATGGACTGGGACTGTTAAATTACAAGCAGGGCCAGACCGCTGTGACCGGGAGCCCTGGCCTTCCAGATCAACTCATTCTCCACAGGCGAAGATCGGCGGGACATTAGCTACATGCTAACGCGGTAAAACAACTCCTACGTCAATGCTCTACCGCGTTTTTCATGCTAAAAACGCCTGGAAAAACTCTGTTAGCTTCGGGTTACCATATAGCTAATGTTCTGCAGATCACCAACTGTGGTGTAGTGTCGGCCCAAGCTGAGCAAGAAGCCCACTTGGCTGAGTGGCCCACTGGGACACTGCCAGAATGCCAGATAGGCCAGTCCACCCCTGATGGACACCAAACAAATCGTGATGCAGCATCTTTACTCCCACATCTATTTCCTATATACATTGTCAGGAAATGTGGGTGGCAATGTGCATTCATCCAAAGACTACTGGGAATATAATCCTTTAGTCCCATAGAGTGGAATAGTATAGGGTGGAGTGGGGTGTCGAGGGTTGGTATTGACCAGTATGCGTAGGTGGTTTCAGGAGGGCGTTTCAATGACCAGTTGGACTCTCACTTGGCAGGTGGGGTAAAACCCGAATGCGTACCATCCTGTATGTGGCTATCACTAACATTTGTCGTTCTGAAGTCGACCAAACATTGCCACTACTTGCAGGCATTTTCTCAACTATGTACAGCTATACCGCTCTACCCTAGCTATTCTGCTCTGCCCTAGTCGTATAGCCCTACCCTAGCTGTACCACTCTGCTCTAGCCTTACTGCTCCATTTTCCAATGCACCTACATAGGGTTGTCACGGTGTGAAAATTTAACCTCACGGTTATTGTGACCAAAATTATCACGGTTTTCGGTATTATCACAGTATTTTTTTTAAACATGCTACATTTTCACACAATTAAATTAACCCTGTATGTCAGGAAATGCTGCCCTCAGTTTGTGTCTAAATTTTTGCCTAAAATGTGTTATTTTGTAATTATGTTGTTTATTTGTTTTCATTTTTCCCTTTAGTCTTTAAAATACCAATATTTGCCCATAACTTCTTATTTTTTGTCTGTTTGATGTCATCATTTAAAAATATTAGATCAGATGATACTCAGTACTCAAGTAGCCTTCTAATCAGATACTTTTTTACCCTTACTTGAGTAATAAACCCTATATCAGGAAACTATTTCCTCGGTTTGTGTCCTTCCAGTGAGCTTTGCAGATGTGGGAAAATGTCATCAGGCAGTAATCATTGTTAAATTCATAATTATTCTTGGAAAGAGACCAACTCTTATCTGCCCCTGGGAGCCTCATAATGCATAGCGTCATTTCAACATGGGGGTGTCCGCGACACGGTTTATATGCAGGTAGCGGCACTGCGGCTGCTTTATATAGCAACTCGTTGCGTTCTCCCTCAACCCAAATCCTCGGATCACGCATTTTAGCTAAAACGCTAACGTTAGCTTGCCTTGCGTTGACTGTAGAGTTGTGGGTGATGGTCACGCAGATGTGTCATGAGATTTGAAGCGTTGCTGCCTTTCACAGACACTTTTTCTGCACGTGCTGCAAACAGGATAGCCGTCTTCTATCAGCTGTCCCTCGGCATTCTTCAGATATCCAAAAGATGCCCGTACTTCCCACTTTGTCTTCTTTGAGGGATAACAAATGTCCTGAGCGCTGCCGTCTCCTCCTTTGGCCATTATTTCAGCTTTAGCTTCAAGAAAGTTTTGGTTGTAAACAACAAAGTGCGCATGTGCCGCCGGCAACTTCAGCAGATGATACGGTGGCTGGTAAGGGTCACCGCGCCTACACCGCAGCCACGGTAACCCACCGAGATAATATAGTTTTTTAAAAAACAAGACGGTTATTATTATTGTCAACTTTTTTACCGGGGTTTACCGCTACACCGGTTACCGTGACAACCCTACACCTACAACAGAAGTGGGTTCAAAAATGTTGCAGTCTAGGTTTGTTGTAGGGCCCACTTTTACAACAGAAACAGACAAAATTGCATTCTGACCCACTCCGACCCATCCCAGACCCCTAAATGGAACGATAGCTTAACTGAATTCAGCATCGTCTGCTCCACTTTCAAGCAGATTTCATTGATACACCCATAATCCTTGTTTATTTTATTTCATTATTTTCTCTCTTCTTTGCAGGGCCTATGTCTCGCAGCCCATGTGAGCTGCTGCCAGTTGGGACAGGACACCCGGTGCAGGCCATCACAAAAAACTACACCATTATGTCAGGGTGTGCAAGCAGAGGCACTGCCACCCTGCCTCAGGAGGTGCACGTCATCAACCTGAGAGGACATGCTCCAGAAAGTCCAGACAACACGCCAGTGAAAGTGAGTCATCGATGTTAGAAAAAGCTAAACCCCACTCACCTTTAAAATACTTTTGCTAAGAAACAAAAGTTGTGATCAAGCTTCGATCTTTTTGTGGCGCTTGATTCGGGGGGGGGGGGGGGGGGGTACAAGCTGTAATCTGAAAACACTTTTTTTCACTTTTCAAACTCTTGTGCAACTCAAAAACTAATAATAATCTAAATATCTCATAGATGATTTAGGTTTTCCACTATTTCGGCCTGGAACTCTTTTCCAAACTCATTGATCAGATAAGCCTTCATGACCTAAACACAACCTTTTAGAGGGAGAGAAAGAAAGACAGAGATAAGTCAACAGATGTCTGATATTTTCCATCCTCTCTTCAGTGTTTAACTCTTTACTGCATCCATTCAAACTGGTGAAAGTGGTGAAAACACTCCCTGTGTTCAGGGGTGGTGCAACACAACGCGTGAACCATCAGACAGAGTTTGAACATTAATCATGTGCAGAAGGCTTTCGCATCAAAATTTTTATCTGTCACCATGGTGTGTGAGGCAGCATGTATAGACCTGCAGTTTACTGCTGATGGAGACTCAAGCTTAAAGCAAAGTTCAAAATCAGTGTGTTAACATGGTGCATCAGGCAAATACATTAATATAACTTTTGTTTTATGATGCAGCGATATGACCGTGAACTAAAGGGCTTATTTAGTGACAAAACAATCTCTTCTTAGCTGAAGGTACTTTTCTAGATAGCAAATGATCGCAATACATTTAGAATTTTAGTAAGTTAGTATTTGGTTGAAGCTACTGAGTCAGGAAGATGAAATATCAATTAGCATAACCTAATATCACAGTGACCATGATAAACACTTGATGTTTATTTTTATACCATTGCAAAGATGCTCATCACACTTTGCCTATGTGGTTCAACGTCACTTCCTGTTTGATAAATAATAAGCAAGAACCGTTATGACGTGTCCGTTGAAGCATCTTAGAAACGGTCATAGTTAAAAAAAATTCAGTATTTTTGACAATTGGGTTAGGGTTTCTTTTAAGATGTACCACATCATCATTTGTATAAATAAAAGCAGTGGTGTTTAATATATTTCATCAATCAGTGTGTGTTTCTGTGGTAGAAGAGTTGGCCGTCATCGGCTACAGGAGTTCAGTTCAGTCGCGCAGAAGCTTTTAGTGTGACTCAAGTTTTCTATTTTTGTTTAGAAGGACAATCAGACCTTCTGAGGGGACCAGATCAGCCTGTTCTGACACACACACACACACACACACACACACACACACACACACACACACACACACACACACACACACACACACACACACACACACACACACACACACACACACACACACACACACACACACACACACACACACACACACACACACACACACACACACACACACACAATTTAAGGTGCCATCAACTGAATCCTCAGATCCTTCATGACTGGAGGAGGGTATCATCTAGCAGAAAAAAAAGGAATTTAGGAGAGACTGATAAGCAGATTAAGTGGATCTTCCCTCGGCTCGTTCACCTAAAAGTCCTTGTGGTAAAACAACAGCAACAGTCTCCATTTTTCATCCTTGACAGCTAAAAGTAAAGAGACTTATTTCTCCTCTAATCATTTTGGATCTTGACAGGTTCTTGAGGTCAGAATATGAAATACTTTATTTCCCAGTTCTTTAAGCTATTAATGAGTTCTTAATATTAAACCCCATAACCACGAGTGTAAAGGGCTTTCTAAGAAAAGAAACTGGTATTAATAAAGCTTTCTAAGCTTTATCAATTGTCCAAGCGCTTTTTGCTTGTTTGTTTTTGCAAGCAGAATTACTGCTCCTTGCGGAAGACCACAGACGAAGGACGAGGTTAAGAACGGGGGAAGTACTGCCGCCTACAGGTCTGGCATGTCCTTAACATCGTATTTATCCGGGTACGTGTGGACAGAGTTTTTTTTAAAACAAGGTGGTGTGGATGCAAGTTTTTGGAGGGGCGGATATTCGTTTTTAAAAAAAACCGGCTACGTGTGGACTAGGCCTAAGAGACATGAAGAAAACCAGGAGGGAGCTGGGGACAAAAAGGCTGGAGCTACAAGGACACAGAACGTGAAGGAAACACCTGGAGGGGCTGGGGATGACTGAATGAACACAGGACCTGGGAGGAATGATCTAAAGGGCAACAAACAGAAGACAATTGAAAAACACAAAGGGACACATAAATGAGATGCAGACAAAGGACACATGAGGGCGCTATGAGACACAAAAGGGGAGTCTAGAGAGGGATGGAGAACACGAGGAGACACATGAGGGAAGACGCAGACCATGACAAGTACAGAATATCTACAGCTGATTGTCCTCTGCTCTTATTCATTTGTTTCATTAAGCATTTTAGTTGATTTATACTTATCACAGAAGGTAAAAGCTTAATAAAGATCAATAAAGCATAAAGATCTCAAAGTCAAAAACAACAAAATATCATAAAACAAATGAAATATAATTAACTCATTACCTGCCAGCCGCTTCCTGATCAGAAAAGCCTGTCGCTGCCACCGTTTTTTGAGCGCTTTACTGTTATTTTTGAAGAGTCACAGAACATTGTGCTCTATGATGATGTCAACGCAAATTTACCAAAAGAAAAAGTAGACTCACTACTTACATCAGGAAGCATTTGTGTAATTCTAGCGTTATCCGTTCTTTTATAATCCGTCGTTGAACTGTGAACAGCAGAAGCTTTTCCGGTTAGCCCCTCACTTTTTATACAGCAACGGCCCAAAACGATGTCCTAACACATGGATTTTCTGCTTCCTGTTCATGTGAAATGTGCCATACGTGGATGAGGATAAGCTTTAGAGCTGGGATGTTTGCTCTCACAGTGTGGGGCTCATTCCTACGCCCGCAATGTAAAAAAAAATGCAAATGACAACTTTAGTCGTCAATGGCAGCGAGCGGTCGGAAAATGTCATCATAAAGATGAAGGAAAACACAAAGGTTTAAGTTAAAGTACTATTAAATAAAACAGTCATCAGCTGCTTTTTAACTCATTCACTGGCAGCCATTTCCTGATCAATAAAGTCCTTCGCTGCCAGCATTTTTCAGCGTTTTTGTTGCGCACAGAATGTTGCTCGCTAGGATGATGTCAACGCCAAAACTGACAAAACAAAGAGTAGACTCACCTTGAAGAAACCGCGTGTTTCGAGAGTTATTTTTTTCTTTCATAATCCGTTGTTGAATTGTGATCAGCAGAAGCTTACCCGGTTCACGCCTCACTTTTTTTACAGCAGCGTCCCAAAACTATCTCCTAACACATGGATTTTCTGCTTCCTGATCACGTGACGTGTGACGTACGCGGATGAAGATCGGCTTTAGAGCTGAGATGTTTGTTCTCACGGTGCGGGGGCTCATTCCGATGCCCACACAGTAAAAACATGCAAATGCCGTCAGTGGCAGTGAATGAGTTGAATGTGTCCAGACCATCAATCAAATGGAAAAAATAAAGGAAGTTCTCTCCAAAGTTGAGGTGCAACGTCCTGTAAACTTCACGAATGAACTTTCCTTAACTATTCTCATGTAGCTAAATAATTTCATTCTCTTTTAATTGTCATTTGATGATTGTGAGAGTTGCCTGCTGAGAGTTTGATTCATTTTCTCAGAGTTTCCCTCACCTGTGCTGATAGGTGAGGAAGTGGCGTCTGGACCACAGAGCAGGCACATTTTGATGCTTTGAGTGACAGTCTGCAGCGCAGGAGCGGCTTGTTGTTTGAGGTTTAACAGTCTGCATTTGTGCACCTCGTGACTCATGCTGCATGTCTGCACAGCAACAAGTCTGGGAGTTTTTACTCAGCGTGCAAAGCTGAAACGGATAAGGGAGGTCACATGGTTGATTTCAAACACTTTCACACTCATGTGGAGTCTCACACTTACTCTGCTGCTGCTGCAGTGTGTGACGCCTGCTTCGTCTTCTCACAACCATTTGAGAAACTGAGGATGTGAAAAGAGTGTATTATTGCAACAGTGGAGCTCTATAACCACCTGAGAACTTTATAGTTAATATTTTTAATAATCTCTGTCTGAATTCCATGTTTTATAATTTAATCCCATTTTCACCTAAAAGGTGTTTCATTATTTGGAGAACAGAAATAGTTTCAGTTCAGGAGAACATTTAAGCCAACTTTATGTATATAGCACCTTACAACAACATAGCACTGACCAAAGTGCTTCACAGAATTGAAATACAGTAAAACAACATAAGAATACACAAAAACTAAAACTTACATACTGGAACTAAAAGATTCTCATGCTGAGTTAAAAGGTTTTCAAAAGAGATTTAAAACCAGACAGAGAAGATGCCAACCTAAAGGCCACACATTTAAGGCTTCATAAAGGTGCTTTGAATCAACCATCTGTCATGTTCTGTGATAAATATTTAACCCAGGACATGCAGAATCAATACATGGAAGCTGGTTGTAGGAATAATAATGATTTATTAAGAAATGATGATTCCAGGAGTAACTGGTAATCAGCAAATGAGTGACAGGAGCAGCGTCTGAGGGGAAGAGGAGCAGATGTTGGACCTTGATAATGTAGTATGGTAGAGGATGCGCTTGGGAGGAGGACTTACGGCGAAGCGTGGTGAAGTTTGTCTGGGGAGGGGTGAGCTGGGAGAGCAAGCGGATGTCCAGGGTTGAGGTAGAATGACGGGGTTCCAACAGGAGGCGGTGAGAGAGAGAGAGCAGGTTACCAGGAGCAAGTCGAGCCGTTGGGAGGACGGAGAGTCGAGAGATAAATCCAGAGGCTGTAAGGTCGGGCAGTTGTATATCCAAAAACACGCAGGGATGCGGTGTATGGACAGGGATGACTGAGCCTAGAGAGTGGAGGAAAAACAAGAACAAAGTCTGAGCACAAAGTCGTAGCAAAAAGTGAGATTTCAAAAACTAGAGTTCTAGGAATCACAGAGGCTGGGATTTCTACCAGTAGGGCGTAATCATCCGGCAGTTTAGCAGT